CTTCCTCTCTTCCTTGGCATGTTGTGAAATTTCTGATAGTTGCATAATAAACCGTTTTATTGTAATTTGTCTTTTTAAATTATTTTGAGTTGATATTAAAATTTGGAAAAGGGGGATCCCTAGATCAGTAAAGTAGGTGAATTTCCTCCTACAACTTCGGTTGTTGTTCGGGATACAGTTAAGGTTTTAACAAAGTTCGAGCAAATACATAATTAGCAAAAAATAGTTGAAATAAAGTGATTAAACAAAAATTATTACAAATATCGTAAATAGCAGTTCACAAACGCATATATAGAGATATTTTTTGGAGGGGGGAAATGGTCTTCACAATTTGAAATCGATCGAACACACTGCTCGAATGCTCGTGTAAACGCGCGCCATCTATCGTAGGATAAATGTACTATGCCAGAAACCTTCGCGGGAGTGTATTAAACAATTTTCCAAAGTTTCGCGGCAATCGGATAAACGGTGTGGTAATGCGTGAAGGACAGACACACATACATTCATTTATATATATATATATTACATTTTTTTTTCATTATTTCATTATATATACTATCATTTGTATGTATTAAATTATGAATTATGTGTTCTATGCTTCAATCTTTTTACTATTGTACTAGAATTAAAATTAATACTTCAAATAAAGTAAAAATAGTAATCTTTTTATTCTTTCCCTACCAAGTGTGATTGATTAAAAAAGAAAAATTATCCAAAATTGCCCCAACACATTATTTCAGATAATTAACATTCTACCGTAAAATTTTGATATTGATCACAAATACTTTGTTAATTTTGATCAATATCAAAATAATTTTATATCATTTCATTATTAATCTTTTTATAAATATAACAAACAAATATAAATCTTTAAACCAGAAAAACAAAATTAATAAAAATAATACAGGGGGGTGCAAAAGTAGATATACAGTTGAGAATCTGAGAAATACAAATGTTTGATGTTCATTATTATTTTTTTTTTATCATCTTTTATTAGTTTGTATTCCTTATTTGTGATTTAATTTATACATAAAAATATATGTTTTTTTTCTTCCTATTTTCTCCCTGTATGTTTTTTCCCCATAATTACAACTGTATATCCACTTTTGCACCCCTCTGTATATTATATATATCACTAATTTGACAACAATCAAATAAAAATATTTATTATAAAATAGCT